TCCTTTATTTAAACAAAAATCAAAAATGATAAAGAAAATAATCAGATTTCTCTGCAGAAGAAGGGGCAGGAAGGTGAAGTTTCGTTACATACCATGGAAAATTAACTCCAAAGTATCCAGAAGAGACTGTATTCAGAGTACTAAAATCCTTACTCTTATTTTTTTTTTTTTAAACCCTGAGTGTTATGGAGTTGCGGTTACTTTGTTGTGTTAACTACAGAAGCTGAGACTGTGCGGATGAATGGCACAGAACAAGAGAGCATAATGGAGGCAATCAACCGTTAGGCTGGTTCACAATGCAATCCAGGCAATTAAAAGCTCACCAGAGTTTAAATGAAATGGTTCTACTTATTTCTGTGCACCACACTGCACAGGCTATTATTTATGTCTCTTTTTTTAATTATGATTTCCCTTAAACTGTCAAATAACTCAGAATAGCAGGGTCTCGGAGGCAATAAGAATTTTCCACAGAACAATTTACATGCCAATCTAAAACTAGTTACGACTCCTGATGCGCTACATGCGAGTTCTGAAATGTTCCTTAGCTTCTGAAACCTTAACTTTTTTTTTTTTTTTTTTAAGTCTGTGTATTGTCCTGAATAACTGGAGCTCTGAATGCTTTTAGGATGAAACTGCAAGGTGGGAAAGCATCTGAAAAGTATTCTTTTCCTCTTCTACTAGATCTGTAACTCTCTTCTTGACTTCATGTTGTCTCTCAGTCTGCTGCCTTTCAGAGATCAGGGCACTGATACTTAATTTGCTCCAAACTGATTTTTAATTATTTTTTTTTTAAAGTAGAGGCAAGTTTTCCTTTTCTTGCTGTACGTACTACTGTCCTTGGTAGCATCGTGTGTGTGCTTCTGCAAAGCAGGAGGGGAGAGTGGTCTTTCAAAGTTTAAGTGATCCGGTGCATAATAGCATCCAAGTCTTCCACCCTTACCGTGCTTTTCAAACACATTCTGTACCACAAACCAGAAACTGAGTTGTGAGAGTCTTGTGCTGCACTCAGCGCCAGCAGGGACCAATCCTGCTTACAGATGCTACTGCATCACTAGCAAAATACAGTTCATTATCTCAAATCTTCAGTTCCTTTGATTTTTGAGAAGGGTGATGAGTGCAGTGACATGAATTTTTGTTTCTGTCTTCTTCCAGGAGCCTAGTTTAGCTTTTTCCATCAGTCTTTCCTCTTCATCGTGAAATTCGTAGTTACAAATTGGTTGACAGTGTTTCATCACACTTTAATAAAAAGGGGTGGGAATCAGTTGTGTTGAACTTATTTTGGGAGACTGAGGGAAATCCAGAAACCTGTAAATCAGGTTATGAAGTTCTGCCTTCAAAAATCCGAAAGGTGGTGGATAGTGATGAAGAAGTCTTATTCCTGACACAGCTTTGCAGTTTATGTGCAGTATCTTGGGGACTGGGGGTGGAGGGAGGGAGGGAAGGATAGAGGAAGCCCTTGAAAGCATATTGGGGTGAAATAAAAAGGGTTCTTTTGACAGTGACAGACTAGGCACTGAAATTTCTCAGTTCTGAGAACAGATCTGCTCTGTGATGCAGAGCATGGGTAGGACTCTGCAGAACTGAAGGAAAAGCTGGGTTTGGTTTCTTTTTTTTTTTTTTTTTTTTTTTTTTTTTGTTTTTTTTTTTTTTTTTAGGTTTGGGGTTTTTTTTTGTGTTGGGGCTTTGTCCGGAGGGGCGAATTGTATGGGTTTTTTTCGGAAGTGCTCCATAAGTTCTGCTTTCCTGGGGGAGCGAGAGAGGAGGGCAGCCAGCCAGCAGTGCTGTGTGCCGCTGCCTGATATTTCAGCAGCGAGCAGTTTGGAGGGTTTTGTGGGTGCTGTCAGCCTCTGAAAGGGTCCTTCCTTCGCCCTAAGGAATAAATCAGTACTTAAACCATAGCCTGTGAAAAGCTGGCTGACAGTAAGCTGCAGGTAGTCTTATGTCCAAATTATGAGAGAGCTAAAAATATACGAGCGCGTATCTGATAAGTATAACTGCGCTGGAGATCTTATGGAACATTAAAGGGAAGAGAGATGGTCTGGGAGGTGATCTGCATTAAGGTGGCTTGCTCACACTGTACAGAAAGAAGTAATCACATGTTGTGTTTTCAAAATTCAGTGATTTAATCCAGGGCATGTGAAGAAAAGGGCATGTGCAAAGAATTTGGAGATATGTAAAACACTTCTTAGAGTGCTGTTTTGTGCTTTGTTTTGTTTGGATCTGTTCTACAGTTAAAAAAAAGTAACGTTTTTTATAATGAAGTAGTAGTTCAGGGATTTTTTTTTTTAACTTTCATTAAAATAGAAGCAGCTTAATCTCAAGTAAAGTGCGAAAAGATCAGATCTGTCTGAGGAGAAAAGCATTCCTTCCCTCCAGAAGCTGCTGCAGATTGAATCCCTAATCTGAAGATGCTGCCAGTGGGATGTCAGCAGCACCTTCTCTCTCATCCTCAGGAAAACAGACATGCAAGGTTGCTAACGCTACTTCCCTGGGCTGTCTGCCCATCTTCGCTCGCCTCTACAAGGAGGGTTTGGGCTAACCAACGTGAATGTCAGTGTTCTGTCTACTTTCCTGATGTAGCAAACGTCTCAAAAACTGTGCAGGGGTATGTGCAAGGCTGCGCAAGGATGCGATAACTTTGCGTTTGTAGCATGCACCTCGGCAATTATCAGGCTTGATTACTGCAATTTGCTCAGATATTCACTTGGTGGGCCGTGTTTCTGTGGCACCTTGTTCCCTTCAGACGGCGCGGGACAGTAGATCAGCCTGGATTGGAGACTGTCAGCCTCAGCGCTTTAACCCGCTGCCTTATCAGGCGACAAAATTTTTACATTAAGATTTTTCTCTTTAAAACCTGTAACTTTGTTAGCTCCTAGTTTATCCTGGTTTCCCTCGAGCTAAAGATTAAAGTCCTAGAACAGCCCTTCATGCTTCTGAACTTTTTTTACTGAGTTTCAAAAAGTTGATAGAAACCGTGGCTGATTTTATGGATTTGTCCTTTGCGTGGCCGTAGAGAGGGGCTGGGGATAAGGAGGTGGTTGGCACTTAGCAGGTATTTGCACTCTACTGTGATATGCAACTTTCCAGATTAAGGCTTTTTGACCAAGTGAAGGTATTGGAGATCCAGCAGGACTTCCCTTTACAGGCTGATACAGGTTCTTTATCAAAAATCTCTGATATTTTCTCTGCCTTTAGTCAGTTCTTTGTAGCCGTGTTATTTTGCTGCTTCGTGTGTGTACCCTGGATTCAGAGGAGTCATTTGGCAATTGAAAATACTGCAGAGGCTCAGCTTGTGTCTCGTGGTGCTTGCTCAGGGTGAGGTGTGCGTTCCTTCCCCGATGTGCCACAGACTTACTGTGGAGCCCTGTGCAGGTCGGTGGGTCTCATCCTCCCCCTTGTGAACGAGAGACAGGTCTTGCGAGTCTGCAAGTGGCGTAGGAGCTCTGAAAGTAGCGTTGACTGGAGCGTAATGGGAAGGCAGCAATGCCGGTTTTTGTGCTTGTCGGTAGAAAAATAGAGACATTGCACTTTCACTGCAAGCTTTGGATGTGAAGCAGCAGCGTTGCTGTGGCACTTTGGGGTGGTGCCCGCTATGGCAAGGAGGGGAGCAGGGCTGCTGGGCTCCTGTGTCGCAAGAAGATTCACTATTTCAAATTCCGTGATCAGCTTCGCAGGTGAAACTTTGGAGTTCGGCTTGGTAGCCCTGGAAAGTCACTTAATTGGCTCTGCAGTCGCTGCAGTCCACACAAATTCAATGTGTTCTGCGTATGCATACAGATCCCCGGGACGCCTCAGCCGGCGGAGCGTTTTGCCTCTTGTCTTCATTGCACATAAAGGCACGTGGTACCACTGCTTCCAGGGTTATTCTGCTTTTCATGTTTTCCTTATGAGCACTTTAAAAAAAACAAACCCGAACCAAACAAAAACCCAAACCCCAACTTGTTCGTGTTCTGGCTCCCCGAGCCTGCCTGTCTGTCGTGGTGTGTTACAGCACCAGCTGAGAGCCGCTGGCAGAAGCTGGGTCTGTAAAGCTTGCTTAGCAGTAGGTAGTAGAGCTTTCTTGATGAGGAGCTCTTGAATTTTCTTTTCTTTGTTACGAGACTCTGTTTGACGTTTCCCAGTCTCTGCATAATAACAGGGTGCCATACCCTGAATTTTGGGGTAGGCTTTGCTTGTTGGCAACAGCATTCATTCCCTAGTCTTGACAAATTCTCCTTGTAATATTCAGAGGTACTCTAATGAGTAGCATTTTTTTGAAGTTACATCTCTGATTGGCTTTAAAACAGTGAGAGAACCTAATAATCGAATTGCGTGTCAGTTCTCTCTCTCTGATGCCTGTTTGAAGTCCAACAAAGCATCCGCAGGGCTGTGTTTTTGCTTATTCGAAGAAATCACTTTCAGAGAGTTGGTCTGAGTGTAACGAGATGGCAGTTTGTGCAATTAACCAAGAGAGACCACTCTGTAAGCACTTTGGGGCAGGGACCTTCTCTCCCCATTTATTGTAAAAGTGAGGGCAATTGATTTTTGTATGGGTCTCTGGAAGTCTGTGTACCATCGCTCAGCTGTGTTCCGCTCTTACCAGTCCCTTCCCTTAAATAGTGGTTCAGGCATTTGAGTTGTTATTTAATGCTCTCTGCTATTACATCAAAAGGTATATATACTTCATGGACACTACTGTACTCCTTGTCCCAAACGAGCTGTTGGCTAAAATTGGGTATGGAAAGTGGGGCAGAGGTTTTTTTATGTATTTTTTTTTTCCTTGACAAGCCAGCAACTCTCCAACCTTGTGCAGATTATTTAAAATCAGATTTTTCAGAAGGTTCTTACGCTGCAGCTTGTAACTAGAGATGCTGGTACTGAAGTTTCTGGAAATCCGATTGCTTCATTCATGTGTCTAACAAGAACTGAAATCTTAAAAAACAAAACAGCCCCCCACCAGCACCAAAATGTCTGTGTCAAACCTCCCTGAAACTCTGGCCCTGTGCCTCTAATAGCTTCAGTCTTTTCTTCTTTACCATCTGGAGTGCTTTTATATTTTATAAAGGTAGTGCAAATAGGTCCAAATATGTAGATTTAGCTATGTTTGCTATCATAGATATGCTGTTTATTTAAATGTTTGGTTGCTAATCATTGGATACTTTGAGCAAAAGTGGATGACTTTTCAACGGAAATGTTTTAATTTTTCATTTTAATTTTTTAATCCTATTTCTTTCCAGCAAAGAGACCAGGTAAACAAGGTGTTAAAGAGAAGCTGTGGAACTTACAGCAGTGGAAGCTTCTGCTCTCAAATTTGTTTTAACATTGTTTTCAGCTTGCTGTGGACTCTCTAGGTTATTTCATCCTATCTACACGATTGCCTTTTTCACGAGCTGGGGGGAGCGGCGCGGTGGAGGAAGGAAGGGGCAGAACTTACACTCGAGAGAATATCTGTTTTCACTCTTCTTTTGTCTTGTTGTCTTTCAGGTATACAAATGCTCTCAGTCCAGCCAGACACCAAGCCGAAAGGTTGTGCTGGCTGCAACCGTAAGATTAAAGACCGATATCTTCTAAAGGCCCTGGACAAATATTGGCATGAAGACTGCCTGAAATGTGCCTGCTGTGACTGTCGCCTGGGGGAGGTGGGCTCTACCTTGTACACCAAAGCCAACCTTATCCTTTGTCGCAGAGACTATCTGAGGTAGGCCACGTCCTTCTTACGTTCACTGGCAAACTTGCTAAATCTGTTCGGCCCTTCCCATGTAGTCACTGTGGCATAAGCGGTACCCAAGGCCTGCAAGGCCAAGTGTATGTGGGGGATGAGAAATAAGTATGGAGATAAAACTAAAACCTGAATTGAAAAGTACATGTAACCAGGTCATGCAGGCAGTTGCCAGTTTTCTGATGCTACTACTAGGATCCTGTGCTCAGAGGAGGAAGAGAATAGTGTAAACCTGCTGCGCTTCCCACAGCAGTATGCTCCTGGGGAGCTGGTGATCTCCTCCTCCTCCTCTTCCTCGTGGCACGGTGGTGGCTGGGCATAGTGGCGTCAAACCGCACGCGTGGTTTTCACCACCTCCGGTGCAGCATGTGAACTCGGTAGGTGAGGAGTGCTTCTCTTGTCTTCACTTACCCACTTTCATCCTCTTCATTTGCCAGAGGGATTTAATTTGTGGCACTGGTAGCTTCTATGAATGTTGCTGTTTAGCTGTCAGAAGCTGGAACCAAGATGCCCACCTGTCTTCCCCGTGATGGATAACCGTGTAGCTGGTAGGCTCCCATCCACTCTGGTCCTGACTGAGCTCAGTGACCTGGGTGGGATGCTGGGTAACCTGTTGTCTCTTCTCAGACAGCAAATCGTCACCTGATTTTCCATGTTGTTGTTTGCTTGTGGACCTACGTTCTCAAAAGTATTTGAGGTAGAACTGGTGGCAAAGTGCTGATGAGCAGCACCAGGCTAGTTTTTCTGCAGATTTCTGTATATGAATAAATAGGACTACTTTGCAGGAGCTAAGTTTAATCGGGAAGTTTAGTCTCCCTAGGCTCTTAATAGTAAATAGAAAGAAAAGGCTCCTCTGGGGTGATTCATAGCACCTGTTTCCTATAGGAGCACCTTTCCTCCCTCCGTTCCCCGTAGAGGAGGCCTAATGGGACTAGCTGCTCCAGGCTAACGTGAACTTCTGGGAATATCTCCCCTGCCCCTGCAGTGAAGCCTTTTCCTTTTAAAGGGACATTCAAGTCAGTAATACATCTGGGAAAAATTAGAATTCTCTTTGAATGCGTTAACTTACAAGTTCAGTTTAAGCACAGGTACCAAGTAGGAGGTTCCCACACACTGATCGGTTCCCAGGTTGTACAGCACGGGTAGGCTGGAACGGGAATCAAGGCTGAAGTGTTAACAACTGTTGATACGCTGGCTCCCTGCGTCACAACCTGTTTTTTCTAGAGTGGAACAAAAGCCTTCACAAATGCATTGTGTGTCGGTTGAGCCGGGCTGCAAGGCAGATCAGGTTCTTCAGGTGTGGGCTTGGACTACTTAGTGGTGAAAGTGCTCTGCTACCCATTAAAACTCTGAACTGTGAACACAAGCTAGAGTGCTGAGAATTTAGCATAGAGTCTGCATCTTAAAGCCATTGTATTAAAGCCGCCAAAAAAGTAGATAACAAAACCTTTCTTTTAAAAACTGACAGGGAGCTGTTTGAATAGAAGGGAATTGTGCATGAACCTAGGTCACTTGTGATCTGAAAGCGTGTGTCTAGAGAGAGGTTGGATCAGCTTCTGGGGGGAAGGTAACACTTATCTTAATTTTTATACCCCATTTTAAGAATCTTGCTACAAGTGCCTGCAGGAGTGAGAAAACTCTGCTGTGGCTGTTTGATCGGAGTTCCAGATTTACTGGAGACTTTGAACTTGCTGAATGTCACAAGCGCTAGTACAGCAGATCCAGTGTTTTAAAATCAAATGTTTAAAATCAAAACCAAAAGTGATCTAGTAGTAGAGATATGAGAAAAGCATTTCCCTTGCACAGATGCACACATACACGCTGTTGCTCTCTGGTCTTTGAAGGTCTAACAGGAGTAAATATTTTGCTAACAGATTGTTAAAATTCATGCTGAGTGATTCAGAGAAAGGAGACCATTTTTTATCTGTCATGACCACATTCAAAACTGGGGTTTCAGTTATTTGTTCATATGCGATATTTACTTTTGCACCGTTGAAACCAGCATACATGAGAAATGCTTTAATCGGTTTTAAGATGTTTCTGATTTTTGTCTCTGGGTTTATCAAGTCTTAATGAAGCTATCTTGTCATGAGCCTTTTTTTAGTGATTCTTGTGAGTGCATAGATTTAAACTTGGTATTTACACTAAACTTCAAACTGATGCACTTAAGGTAATTGCAGATAGTCATTTGCCTCATTGCGTCTTATCTACTTAGTTATGCAGTGAACCTATAAAAGTGATCTTTTTAATGCTAATGGAGAAACTAGTTAAATGTTCTCTAGCTTTGTAGTCAAATAAGCTTTCATATTTAGCAACCCACTTGATATGAATTTAAAGAACAAATTACTTTGTACTAATGATCAGATTAGGGTTCGATTACAGTTTCAAACTATCCTCGTAATTTTTTTTTTTCTTTTTAGCCATAAAGGCTGTCTTTGCTACATAGAAACCTGTTCTAGCTTCCTATTAATTTATGTGGTGCCCTCTAGAGGATATGTGGCTTGCACGGTACTATAAAGAGTAAAATTGCTTATTAACTTGTCTCTCTGCGTTCATTATGTCTTTCAATAAGACAGCCATTCCGTAGACTCTATAAGCATTAATGTAGCCAGTTTGGGTGCTTTAAATTCCATGGTTAAATTTGCAAAACTGTGTGATTGTGTCTTTGGCTATCTATAAGGGCACTTCCAGCATCTCTCATTCAGAGATGCCTGCCAAAACACTAAACCCTCCCTCGGCCCTGATGCATGCTCTCATTCTGCGTTTGAGCCCTGGGGTACCCGATTCGGTCAGCTTTTTATAAATACTCTGTATCTTCAGAACTTAAACACTCGCTTTGCTTTAGCTCTCTCCTTTGGTAAAATTGGTTAATTTTACTATACTAAAACCTTTTTCTTCAGGGTGGAGGCAGGTTGAGGGGATGGAAGAAATCTTTAATGAGGTAATGAGGTTGGAAGATGCTTTGGGTGTGAGAGGCTTTACCCTGGAATCTGATTCATGTAAGTCTCCCCAGTGGGTTTCAGAAGTGGTGCGTGACACCAAGGATATTAGGGTGGCCACAGCGACTCGATGTTAGAAATAACACACTTTGTGAAAATGATATGCAGAGTATAATTCCCCTGCAGGCTTCTGTCTCCTGCTTATACATTCTTGGGTTGGAAAGTGAAGACTTAATTTAAGGAACTTAGGTTTACGCCGATATTTCAAGTCCATTTACAGTAAGTGAAATATGCAGGAAGTTTTTTTTTTTTCTCCCCCTGTTTCCCTCTAGAGCTGTACGGTGACATCTTAATGTATCAGCCTGTCCTCCTCTGTCCTCTCTTCCGACATGGCAGCATGTCCATTTACAAGCACAATATTCCCTTTGAAATCTGTCATTACTGCCATTAATGACCAGTCGTTATGTTAACAGCCCAAGGGCTGTTAACATGTCAAACTGGTTGTTAACTGGAATGTTATTACTTATTTAAACCGCAGGTATGAGTTGTGTGAAATGTGCTTTGGTTGTGCGTTCTGGGCTGCTTCTGCTCAAAACAATAGGGAAACAGCAGAGCGTTTGCCTTTGGGGTGCCAAGGGATTTGCTTTCTGTTCCATCTGCTCATTTGATTTCTGCATATTTGTGAGGTCCTCCTACCCCTGGGCAGCCTCCTAATTTTAGCTGCAACTATGTGCAATCCTGTCTCTTAGCTTTGCATGCGTATGGGCAGCCACGGATATTTCCAGATGCACAGAAATGCCCGCCGCACATTGGAGATTAATATCTGGCCCCTAAAAGTGTAAAATGAAAGACCGACAATTACATGTAACTCAGTTGTATTAAATAATGAGCTTCCTCGGATGCAGCGAAAATATGAAAGTACAGCTGTGCTAAGCTAGTAGCAATGTAGGTCAATCACCCTTTTCACTTAGGTTTTTAACTACGCAAACCCTGCTGAGCGACCAATGACTACAAAGTGCTGTTTCATTCCTATTTAATTTTGGCAGCATTTTACTGAAGAGCAGGCATTCATGCAGCTAAATTATCTTCACCGTTTCTGGTTTTAACTCCAGCTCCATGACACTAAATGTTGGAGTGCATATCTCTTAGTAAACACAAAGAAGATGGTTTCTGATTTTTTTTTTTTTTTTAAATCCATCTCTTAACATGGAAATTGAATTAGAACTTTTATTACTTTTTGCATAATTTCCCTAGCCAGGCAAACAGGTGATAGGAAAAGGATTAACAAAACTAAAATACTGGGATGGAATTTTTGCCCTTTAGGGCATCTAGAACCTTATTGGGGATAGTGACACAAAAGTCTACACACACACACCCCCCTTCTGCTCCCCCCAGCCTTGGTAGTGATTTCGGTCATAAATGTACTGCAGTTTTTAAAAGTGCCGCTGACTAGCTATGAGGATGAGTAGATCCCGGTTTCTGAAGAAAGGGGCAGATCGCGTTAGGTTTTTTTCTTCCCCACTTGCTGGTTCGCGGACCTGAGACAAGCCAAGTTTTTCAAATACGTATATTGGATGAGATCTTGTAAATAACGAGATGTGACTGCAGAAAGTAAAGTGTTCAACCGTAAGCATCGTAAAGATGCTGCCTCTGTAAAATATTTAGCTTGTGAAAGGGTGCAGACTGAAAAGAGTAGAGTTTAGGAAGCAGCCTTTTCCTGTACTACTGCTCGCACTCTGAAGGCAATTATTATTTAAAAAAATTATTACATAGGAGTACTTACAGAGACTTCATGTGTCTTCTGGCCTGGTACTGATTAGCAGATCCTGTTTCTCTCTCGTGTCGTGGAAAGTGCACATTAAGTATTGCAAAAACCCAAGATATCAGCCCTCTTAAATTCATGCATAAATAAATACTCTGTATGGATATTTTCACAGGTAGTGGGTTGTAAGGTGTTTTCAAAATGACACCTCAGTGTGCTTCTTGCCCAACTTGATTAAATAAGGGTAGATCTTTAAAGATTTTAGCACTGAATTTTCA